TCTATAAAATGGGCGTAATATTAGTATTTAAGAAGTCTGTTGTGATGATTAAATGAAACAGTATATGTAACCTAAAAAATAAACTAAGAAATAGCTCAGTAAATATTTGCGGCTCTTATTGGTCCTGTTTTCCTTATATTCATTCCCTCCTTAATGGCTTTTCTCTGCAGCCTCGCTCCAGTCAGTCTAAACCGGGAATGGCAGTGTTTGGTGTGGTCTCACAACTTCCATTGCTTTCTAACGAGCTGTCGAGAGGGTTTGAGAGGGTTGCCCAGCTCCGCAGGCTGTCTCCTCTTCCCTATGTCGGCTGGCCGGCCTTGAAGGAGGGGAGTAGCAGCGCCTGTGCTGGCTTAGCCATATCTTGCTGGAAGCCTTCTTGATCTCTCTATGCACATCTTCGCTCCTTGTCCTCTTTTGGGTTTCATGTCCTTTTTGTTCTTGCACCTTATTTTCATAGGAGTCTTTTAGCTCTTTTTTTTTTTTTTTTTTTTTTTTTTACAATGTGTTGTTTCATAGCATATGTTAGTAGGGTAGTAATCCGGAGCTAGCCTGAGGCCCTTTTCAGCCCTGCTGCTTCAGGGCCTCTCATGAAACGCAAATGTAGCTGGTTTGTGAGGCTGACTGGGATAAGCCTCATTTAAAGAAGAGTAAGGTGTTGTGAGAACATTTTCTCCTCACTCACCCCGAGTAGAAAGCTCCTGTTATGTTTAGTACAAGGCAACCAAATGCAAAGAAACTTTTCCATAAGAGATTATGGTGTTCTTTTCGGGCAGGTGGATTCTGACTGGGGGAAAAATTTGTTTTGTTAAATGGCATAAATTTAAATTCATGGTGTTTAGGTATAAGTTACTATCTGAGGGCGTCCAGTAATTAACAGCCAGTAAATTGTAATTGGGGGTTAAGGAAATAGCCCTTAGCACATAGGCAATAATGATTTTACTTTGTAACACATCTTGGGAGTTACAGGGACATGAACTTATGGACACTATAAAAAGGTTTTACTTTTTCTGATGACTTTTTTTTACATTGATAAGTCCAGGGTCTTTATAAATTATCATAAATCAGAACTGTATCTTAAGAAGAATATTAATAGTTGGGTTTCAGAATCACTTGCCTTGGATTTAGTGTTTGTTATTTTAAATCCTGGAATTAATACCATATGGTGTTCAATTAACTTTATTTTGACTCATTTTGAAGGACAGGCAGAAGATGTTTTAATGACGTCACTCAGCTAGAAATCAGATCTGTTCCTTCGGTGAGTTGCTTAACTCTCAAGGCCTCAGCTTCTTCCGTCCCATCACATAGCTCTAGCATGTGATTGTCGTGAACAGTACAATTCTATGGCCTTTTTTTTCTGCCAAAATTCTGGTTTTCTCCTACTGAATTTTTAACATGTTAGGTATATGTTAGATGTCAATATACATTTCCAAATGCTCTATTCTTTTTTCTAAATTTTAGTCTGAAAAGACTGACACTTTTTAAAGAAACACTATGTTTGATTTTGTTTAGATTATTTTTTTATTCATTAAAATGTAGTTTCAAATCTATATGGTAACTGGCTCCTGAAATTTAAAAAAAGAACCAACACATTTAGTCCCCTAATTTCACCCTCCTCACAAACCTTGTATCACATTTATATTGATAAGTAATAAAATTAACAGATTTGAGCTTTAGCATTCTAGACAGTGGAAATAGCATTACTAAACTATAGAATAGTCTTGCAGAGAAATCTGGCCCAGGAAGAGGAGTGCGTTTTACATGTCAAAAACTCCACCTGCGGCAGTCAGACGCTGGCTGGCTCTGCACTGGTTTAACAAAGAATTGAATAGTTTTGTTACCTAGGTATTTCACTGAGTTATTTGTTCAAACAAAAGAAGAATATTTAAGGCCTTTTGGTAATACTTTTTAAGTTTTTGGCCTTAAAATGACCCTTAAGAGGCAGAGGGAACTCCTTGGTTCTAGAACCTCAAGTGAAAAGCCCCTGCTGGGAGGAAAGCTGTTGGGAATGCATCCAGGGTGTGGTCAGGTGGGCTCGAGTGACTCTTTGACCTCAGTGACAGTTGCTCCTTGCATGTGGGTATTTTCCTGTGTCGTCGGTTCTTGACTCTGTTCCTTGGAAATAAGTCTAAAATTGATTAGACATTTCTCATATTCTAAATTAGGAGAATGATTATCTAAAATTTGTAAAAGTAGGATTCTCCAGACCTTGCAGGATAAATCCATTGGTTGAAAGTGAACAATACTTTTGGGTTTCTTTGGAGAGATTACAAATAGAGTCTTTTTCCCCTGTGGGGATGGGGCAGGTGGGAATGAATGTTACCCCTAACTAATGTGTCAGTCAGAATTCTTGGTGGCAGTAAACACCAGTTCAAACATACTGTGTATTTTAAAAGGTTACTGGGTCGAGCTCAGTGGCTCGTCAAATTGTTGCAAGGGTTAGAGAACGAGATTCAGGGCTAAGCAGCCAGAAACAATGCCCAAAATCACACTGTACAACAGTTCCCACGAGGATGCCAGTCCCATCTGGAGACAGACTGACAGACGCCACCGCCTGCCCCAGTGACACTGCTAGCTCTAGATGACTCCGAGTGCTGCCATCTCTGCCCCTGACTTGACCTTGCTGCAATTGCTCTGCTGTTAGTGTGAGGGCGTTTCCTCTGGTCTCTACTTCTCCCACTGAGTAGGTGCCCATTTCTAGTCTGGCTGGGCCTAGATGTATAGGACATGTGGGAAAGTGTTTAACCTTTTGAAATCATAAGATGGGAGGAAGTTCTCAAATATTAGATGTGGCAAACTCTTTGAACTTCTAAATCATAAAGTGGGGAAGTTCCCAAACCTCAGGGGAAGTTCAGCTGCTAGGCAGACAGAAATAAGGATGGACGTGCCCTCCACCTGCTGTTCTCGGTGTGCTGTGTGCTGAGCGCTCCCTGCGTGTGGAGTGTCTTATAGGCACTGTCACAGCTCGTCCCCATGTTAGAACTGATGGGTAGGTCGAGAGAGTCAGTGACCTGCCAAGATCAGTCACTGCCGAGCTGGGACTCACTCAGAGCTGCCATTCTAGAGCTCGTGCTTGGAACTGCTGTGGTATACCGACTTTGTTAATATCCCTCCCCCCCCCCCCTGATATATTTAGCTCAAAATCCTGTAAATAAATGTTAGATCGACTCTACTAAGTTTATTAAAATCTTGTGTATGGCGTGTTTATCTATTTAGGCATTTTAAAGGAAATTAAAAATTTGCAGCTTTAATTTTATCTATTTTCAACAAATTGAATAATTTCTGATTCTGTTTCTTATTGTGTGACTGTGAGACACAGGCTCCAGCCTGATAAAATGCTTTCTGTCCAAGTATCAACACTTGGAAGCCAGTTGTTGAGTGTGAGAGAGAGGTTGGCAAGAAGGAGGGGGTACCTAGAGTGACCAAGACTGAGGCGGAGAGGGAGAAACACCGCACACACCCATGGCATCCCGCTCCCCTACCGCCTGGAGAGACAGAGACAGAGACAATATGGATGGAAGGAGTAGGGGCACGTGCTATCCCACAAGCAGCATTCTTTATGTCCTTTGTTATTTGTAATGGTAGCTTGAAAAACAGTGAAACTCTCCCTTTGCTTAGGAAAGTCAGTGAGGGCTTTTTTTTTTAAGGTTAGAAGCACTGCTCTCTCTAGAGTACACAGTTAAGTTTTAAGCCTCTGTACCAATTTGCATTTTAAATTGACTTATGTACTTCTATTTTAAAGCTAAAGAAATATGTGATATCTAGGAGTAATAAGCAGGAGCTGTTATTTAACTTGGGATGTATCCAACTTGGTTTGTGGGGAGAAATCGTAAAGACAAACTGCCATAGTTGCTGTGATGTCACCCATGCTGGAGTATTTCTGCGTAAACCACAGCTCTTGTTAATTATTCCTTTAGTACAAGTCTATCTGTCCTGCTGATTTTTTTATGCTACCAAAACAGCACTTTGTAATAATGTCATTTTATCCACTTGTGCCTTTGGAACTAAATGGGCAGCTATAGCTTTGTGAATGTGAGTTGATCAGGTGCCCTTCCACACACATGCTCTTGTGGACAGGCTAAATGTGAGTTGGGTGCTAGAGATGTAAGGTAAATGTCCATAAAATTAAAAGTGATTTTTGTCCTCTTTAAGTATAACATTTTTAATATTGAGTATACTATGCTTTTTGTCCTTACCCCCATCTGATCTTTCCTAGGATATAAATTTTAATTTGAGAACTTGTATTTCTCTATGAATTTTTTGTTTTTGGTCCAGTGCAGGCTGTATACAATGGATTTTTGTATAAATCCAATTGATGTTGTATACTCTGCTATTCCACTACTTTACTTTGAGATTTATGCCTCTTTTATGAGCTGTTGTAGTGGCCCAGCAATCCTTACACGGGCACTAGTCCTTTTCTTAAGCTACCAGGTTGAAAACAGGATGTTAGCATATGCACAGTTTTTTAATCTTTATGGACATTAGCTAATGGTGAATTTAATTAGTCATCTGTATAAGAAATGCCATTCTGGGCCAGAGCAGTGATCCCTCCAGCTCAGACTGTCCTAAGGAGCTGCACCAAGGAAAGAGGTTATTTATTGGAATTCTGGCGTTCCTAAAAGACACAGGGGCCATTTCTAATTTCCCTTAACTTATATACTGTGCTCAGAATTCATGCGTTTATTTAAACTCTTCAACATTGCAATCTGTTCTGATTACATGTTATGTTTGTATTAAGCTAAAATACCTGTTATAGATTTGTTGGAAGGGATAATGTTGGGAGAAAACACCATTTATAATGTGAACTTCAGTTCTTTCCTTGCTCATAAGCTGCTTCAGTTTCTTCACCTGTAAAATATAAAATGATTTTACAGGTCCCCCCCATCTCTTATTTTATTTATTTATTTATTTATTTTGATTTTAATTTTTTAAAGATTGGCACCTGAGCTAACGTCTGTTGCCAATCTTTTTTTTCCTTCTTCTTCTTCTCCCCAAAGCCCCCCAATACATAGTTGTATATTCTAGTTGTAGGTCCTTCTGGCTGTGCTGTTGTTATTTTTAATATGGCCAGTTTATGAGGTTTGTCTTTCTTACCCTCCTTCATAGCATTTTTTTTCCTACATGTGTTTTAAATATAGAATATTAAGCAAGTTCTTTATATATAATGAGGGAGACACAAGTTACGGAGGGCCACTGAATTCCTTTGAATTAGCTGTGACTGTACCTAAAGGTTTTGTGGATTGTAGGAGAAACAGTATTCCGTAGCTGTAGTTCAGAGGAAACAGGTACAGCTTGAATTGAGGGCTTTGGGATGTGGGTTTATCTATGGAAGGTCCTTTCATGAGACATGAATACCACTTTTCAGTTTGCTGGAAACTGGTTGAAGACATTGGTCTTCCTTCTTTCCTTGTCACAGCCTCGTACAATGCCCACCAGGAGAAATTGTCTTAGAGTTTGGTTGTGGGGAAAACTTGTCTGTATGGTATTGCTGAAAAATATGTAGAGCCTACCAGAACTACTAAAGAATGAAGATAGTATTTTCCTCCTGGCAGATAAAGGAATAGTTTAGGGAAAGATGTAACTCTCCGTTGACTTCTATTTTTGAAGTTATGGATTATTTTCTGTAAAATAAAAAGGCTGACATGAGCTTTATAAAAATGGTTTCCACTCTTGAGGAAGTTACTGGAGTTAGGTGACAGTCTGTGGGGCACTCACACTTACACAGCCTTCTTGAAGAGGCTGTCAGTTACTAAGAGGTTATTTGGTATTCAAGTAACTCATCTCCCCGGAATAGGGCCAAAGGCAAACCTACTTTCATACCAAGCTACTCTCCCTGGTGAATATTTTATTGTGTGTTGTATTAAAATTCATGAAGAAGAGTAAAGCCGTGGGCTCTGCGATGTCTAGATTTGTGTGTGTCTGCATTATGTTTAATGTTGAAGACATGGAAAGAAACTAACTCTGGAAATATTTACCTTGATGTTCTACGTAGAATCACATGTGAAGATGTCATGAAGATTTCCTACTAAGAAGTACATTTTATATCTTGGCCAGAATGTGTATAGCATGTTTGTCTATGAAACAGAAGTTTTTAAAAATAATTATTCATACTTTGCGTGAGAGTGTGCAAAGGAAGGGGAGGGAGAGAGAGAGACAAATGCTAGTTGTAAGGAGAGATTGTGTGTATGGTAGAGTTTCAAGAAACAATACATACTCTGTGCTGTGTGCACTTCCATATTGTTAAAATACAAAGTAAAACAGCAAGTGCCATGGGTGATACCTCCCGACATTGACTTCAAAACCACACAGACCGTTTCAGTATCTTTGTTTGGTCTTAATGATAGATCTGCACACACACTGTTTTTTGTCGAGAAAGAAACACTAAAATCGTAAGGTTTTGTAAAAATAAGGTGGTATTATTTATCATTAGTGTCCTGGGCAAGTGTGTCCTCCCTTCCCTCTCCTTCGTCTTTCTTCACCATCAGTGCAGTGGATGAGATTGTGAGGGAGGTTTTTTACTTAGTGTTAATTTATGCTGAAAATTCCCGGGACACAATCAAGTATTTGCAAGCCTAGCATATGTATTCAGGTCTTTGGGAAACTTTAAATCTTCAATCTGAGTCTCTGCTCTGTGTAAAGCAGTAAGTTCTTTCACTGGCATGTTTTTTAGTCAATGGGGATAATTTGTTCCAAGGAATTTTCACTTTCTCCAAATAATTGAGACATTCATGTAGCAAGGCCACATTTCCTGAGTAATGTGTCCTGATAGTTAAGTAATTGCCTTGATTTTTATTTTAGAATGGGTATGTTACTTTTACTTTGTGAAAGGCAGTGGATGCATCAAATGACAGATTAAGTTTACAGTTTTGAAAGAAAATATTCCTACAAAATATTTTTCAATTAATGACACATTAAAAATCAGATTCTGTTGAATATGAAGAACTGAGGCCGATATGTGTTATCCCATAGTGTTGGGAACTAAGGTGTTCCACATGAAAGACTTTTCCAGAAAAGGAAAATTAGGAATCGTAACTCTAATAAACTTGTAAATTTTAAGAAATGGAACACTTTAATGTGTGTATGTGTGTGTCTGTGTCTGTATATCTATATCAAGAGAGAAAGAGAAGTATTTCAAACATTCAGGAAAGTACAGAAACTATTTTGGTAAACACCTGTGTACCCACTCTGTTAAGTCTTAACGTTTCTTCCTTGACTTCTCAGAGCATACGTAGTATCTGTCAGTCACTTAGAGGTGATTCAAGTTAATTGTTAGGAACGAATGCCGCTCAGTGCACTGTGCGGTGTGAAGCTCACTCCCACTCAGTCCTGCAGGCCTCAGTGTGGCGTGTTCCTCTGATTCACTGCTTATTGCCACAGGTTTCTTGTTAGTGAACAGCAGCAAACTTTCCCTTTGACCTCTTATCTAAAGCAGCCTTGGAAGAACAGGATGGATTTCTCAGTTGAGCAGCCTGAGTTTACAGGTACTCGTATGGCTCAAATGTGGTATTTGTGACTAATAATTTTATTTCAGTTTACTGCAGGTTATGATAGTGAAAATAGAAAGACTGAGATTTTGGATCCTGGAACGCTCTCTCTGTGGTTTGGACAAGTTATTTAACCGCTCTGTGTGTTTTGTTAGGACCTTTCGCAGAGGGAGGTTCTGAGGATTGAGTGAGCTAATGTAAGTATCTGGCACAGAGAAGTTGTTCAGTAAAGGTTACTTTACTGTCACTAGCCTTATTTCAAGTGATTGAACTTGCTAAAGTCTGATTTCCAACTGAATGGAGATGTTTCTACACAACAATATTCAAGGATTCTCCTCACCCCCTACCCCAAACAAAGCAGATTTTAACATTAAATTTCATCTTAGAACCCCTAGTGATTGTTTTCCTTGTACTTTTGGTTTATTTATGTACCTAAAGTCTGATAGGCCCATAACAAATGCTTTGTGAACCTTAAACTAAGTGAAAATAGATTGTTCAGATGAAAGGTATGTGGATAAGTCAGTTTTTGGGCAATTCTAGCGAGCTCTTGCCAGAACTAGTATCTTTGTTTTGGTCTTCAGAGACTATTAAATGTGATTACTGATTCATACTTGCTGTTTTTTCTGTCCCCTGGCTGTCTCTCTTAAGACCCTGAAGCTTGCCAGCCACAGGATGTTTCAAAGGCAGAGGAGGCCTTAGCCCAGGGGGAGTTTGTTTATTTAAAGAAAAATAATTAAGTTCAAACATCCCTACCATGTCTTAGCTAGTCTAGTCATGTTAGCGTTAGTGAGTTCTTTTGATTCTCTCTGGTGGTCATGGTGCCTAAAGGGAACAGATAAATTTGAAAGTACTTAAAACTTTTCTTGAGATTACTTGGAACTTTATAACGTAATCCTAAACAGAGATCCCTAAAGGAGTAGGAGGAAAGGGAATGCCATTTATTTTACTAGTTGCTGTTTTTTAATGGAATTCATTTAATTCCAGTTTTTCCACCACTCCTTTCTAGAGTTATGGTGTAGATGATTTTAAAACAAAACAACAACCAAATAAGTAAAACCACACGATGGTAGCTATATCTTCATTAATTCTTTGAAGTTGAGACCATAAGAATTTTTAAAAGGGGCAGTATAGCTCTATAGATGTTTAGACAGAAAGATGTGAAAATTCATGTTTGTGTTTCAAATGATTATCATCTCCAAAATTTATGACTTATTTCTCCTTGTATATTCTCTGCCAGATAAGGAGATCCGAGACAGATATTTTGGGCTTGCCTAGGGTACCGGGGCATATTTCTTTGATGAGATAACTTGTAAAAACCTAGTCCTACAGGAAGGGGAGGAGGAATAAGCCAGAGCGATATCTGGTGTTCCCGGCAGAGGGAACCCAAGTCCTGGTGCCTGAAGTGAGAACTTGCTCATGCGTTTAAGGACAGAGAGCCATGTGGCTAGAATGGGGCGAGCAAGGGGGAGAGTGGTAGGTTAGAGATCAGGAAGGGAAATGTCACATTATAGTGTTTTTGGCCTTTGTAAGGACTTTGGCTTTTAGACTAGTGAGATGGAGTCAATTAGAGGGTTTGAACAGAAGAATGATGTGATCTGACTTTCTTTTGAAAAGGACTAACTGACTGACTGACTTGTGGAGGTGAACAGGAGAGAGGCTGGGAGATCAAATCCATGAGAAGTGAGTTGCTGGGACCATGATGGTAAGAGTGGAAGTGGTAATATTATGGATGTCTTTTGAAACTGGAGCTCCCAGAGTGAACACTTAGTGGATAGTGATGAATACTTCTGCGCATAATGTCTGATTGACCCATTTTTAATGACATTAAGATTAATTACTGGGTTCAAGTTTTGTCAGCCTGATTTATCTATTATTAATTTTCCGATCAACTTTTACGTAGTGGTTTTAGCAACCATTCATTGCTTTTTAGGTTCATAATTTCGTTAGGGGGACACAATGGTGATTTTCTAATCCTATCATTCCTTCTACCTTTATTATTCAGAATCCTATAAAAAAGAGTTTTCACTTATTGACTGCTTGTTTCTCTGGGGGTACTTTTCATATAAGAAAGGCAGGATAAATGCTTGATTCTTTCCCTTTATCAATTTTCAGAATAATAAGTTAATGCCCTAGCAACTTCCAAAGATGACCGTGAATTTTTAAAATGTATTTAATGTTTCAGTCAGTGGTAGTCGTTAGCATTTTGATGTTCAAAATGTCATTATCATTTGATATTCATTTGATCTCAAAACAGTTCTCCAAAGTTAAAACTGTAAAACAAGGTATGTTCTGAGAAGTCTACTTCCATCCCTCTCCTTTCTACCCTGCTTTCTCTTTTCTCTGTAGATAACCATTTAAAAATGGTTTTGGTTTTATCTCTCCATTGCTTATGGGGTTTTTTTTTTGAGGAAGATTAGCCCTGAGCTAACATCAGCTGCCAATCCTCCTCTCTTTGCTGAGGAAGATTGGCCCTGAGCTGACATCCGTGCCCATCTTCTACTTTATATGGGGGATGTGTGCCACAGCGTAGCTTTATTAGTGATGCGTAGGTCTGCACCCCAGGATCCGAACCAGAGAACCCTGGGCCACTGGAGTGAAAGGTGTGAACTTAACCGCTTCGCCACCAGGCTGACCCCTTCCATTGCTTCCTTTTGAAAGGAGAAAAAGTAAGTCTGTATTAATATTTGTATTCCCCCACTTTTTACAAAAAAAGTAGCATTTTTTGGAATACTACTTCAGCTACAGGATAGAAGTAGGGAAGTACTGGGTTCCCTGAGGGTTATTCTTGAGATCTGTCAGCTTTTTACTCCTTATGAAACGTTTTCTCTTAATATTCCTAGCAGTCTCCGCAACAAGCACCTCAAAGAACATACATGTTTGAAAAAGAAAAAGATCCCCACCCACACCATTTGGCAATATTTAGCAAAATTGCATATCAATCAGTTCCCCTTCTAGGAGTCTTTCCCAAAGGTTGCACTAACAATTACAAAGTGGTATATGCCTTTGTTCTTTTCCTTCAGGGTTGGGACCATGTCTTGATTGTCTTTTAATTGTGGGCTTTGCTTATCAAGGAACAAAACAATAATGATGTTTTAGTTGGCATTAACATCAATGGTGTTTGTGTGGAAGGAATTTTTGAGATTGCCCTTTTGAATAGTCAGATTAAATAGTTCATCAAAAGTGAAATCATTCATCAGTTTACCCATTCTGTCAATAAGTATTTACTGAGCGCTTACTGCATGGCAGTCATTGTCTTAGGTGCTCAAAAGATCAGTGAATTAAACCTACAGAAATCTCCTGAGCTTACTTTCTGTGGTATGAGGGGGAAATAGACAAGCATAATAAAGAAGCTCTTAATTTGTTTTCAGATGTGCAGTTTTAGGGCTCCTCTTCTCTGTCTTCTTTCTCTTTTTCCAGTCTATAAATGGCATTCTTAGGAGTTGCAAGACCCTGGTGAGTGAAAAGGATTGAGGACTGAGCAGTTTGTAGATGTTTATCCTCAGACGTGTCGCGTCACTGTGTAATTCTAATTCTGCGGGTTGCCAGCCTGTGTTCTGTCCCTCTCACCTCACCCTGCTCAGCCTGTTGATGATTTTATCAGAAGGTTGCTCAAGAACTGTTTGAAGAGTTCTGCTCTAGTCACTAAAATCTAGATAATTGTCCTTAAAGATTTTATGTTTTTGTTATAATATATTCTTAATTAATACATCTTTATTTCAGAAATGACCGTTAAGAAGTAGATGCCCAGATGCAAAAGTGATGAAACAGTCAATTTGTCATAAAGTAAGATGCAGCTGTGGCTTTGCAACAAGATTAGTAAGTGTGGCCAATTTTTTTTTCAACTTTATACTTATTTTATCTACTTTAAAAAATATTTAATAAAAAGTATAGTGGACATTTTATAAAGTGTCAACTCGTATTTCTGTTTTTATTTTGGATTTTAGTACAAATTCCCTACCAGTCTTTGTTCTGCATATTTTTAAAAAAACATAATTTTGATCATAGTGTTATAAAGAGTATGCTTCTTGTTTATCTTTTAAAATTAAATTTAAGATGTTTCTCCCTAGGAATGACAATGTACCCTTCAGTACGGGGTTTCTGATTGGGGTGATGAATATATTCTGGAATTAGATGGTAGTAATGGTTACAGAACTTTGTGAATATAGTCAAAACCACTGAATTTTATACTTTTAAGTGATGAACTTTATGATGTGGATTATACCTAAAAAGAAAATACCCTTCAGAATATCAAAGCTTGGCAAGAGTAAAAGCCAATGGAGTACTGATGTTTTAGAACGTGAAAATATGCCACTCATCATTATATACCTAGCAAAAATGATTTGATAGTAGAATAAGTATTTCTGTAATAATAAGAATAATTTTTATTGTAAATATTCTTATAAAAATAAAGTACTTTTCTTATTAGAGACTTACTGTTTTTTAAGCTTTGGTAATACAAGTGTCATAGTATTCTGAATGTACTATATTAGCATTTTGTAATTTTCATTTTCAAGAGACTTTGTGTTTTGAAACTAACATGTCAACTTTTCTACCTGAAATTCTTTTAGGAACAAAATTGTATCTATTTTTCTCAGAAGAGTGTTCCACAAGGTAAGAAATTGTTCATGTAGTAATAAAACAAATCTCATTGAATACAGGCTTCATTGCTCTTGATTTTTTTTGTTCCCTTCCCCATATTTATTTCATATCTTTTCTTGATTATTACAAGATTCTCACAAATATGTTAGCTGCTCCTTTACTAACTCAGAATTTGCTAGCCAAGACCCTGCTCATCTTATTTGAAGTTGGGATTGAAAGGGTGTGATAAGAGTGGTCACATCTGCCACTCAGATACTGCTTTTCTTGGGCAGTGCCTATTCCTCGCATCCTTGGGAGAGGGCTTATCCGTTTTAGGAAACAAGTTCTCTTCTTGCATAGGGCACATTCACCTTTTGCCTCAGTGGACATGGCCTAAATGACCTGGGGGAGTTCAAGGTTCATAGAAGCTCTCTTAAGGGTTTCGGTTAAAGGGGATTAGTTAGCTATGTTTACACCTGTGGAAATTGTGTAACTCCTTTAGTTTAACAAGTGCAATACTTCCTACCAGGTTGATAGTAAAAGATGCAGTAACATTTAATATTTAAAAAAAAAAATCCTGAACGATCACCTTTACAGTGGATTAAATCATTGGTTTACATTGTTGTGCTCTTCGACTTCTGGAGGATGAAACGTTCACGTGAGTAGATAGTACAGTCTCAGCAGGGTGCTCACCCTGTGCCAGTAACCGAAAGTCAGTCGCTTGGCAGCCTTAGGAAGTCACCTAGTTAAATTTTCTCCGAAACTTTTTGGTGTAGGGAGTAGTGATCACTGCAGATTAATTCAATCTGTCAACTGGAAGTGCTCGTAAAGTGGATTATTCAGATCAATAATTCTTTCTCATTTACTCTCCTTTTCCAGTATCCTCTGTCCTGAGGGGAATGCGCACTCTCAGACACATCTTTTCCACCTGGTTTTGAAACTGCCGCAGATTTAGTTAATCAGGTCAACTTTTATCCTAACTGGAAACAGAGGGTTAAATAAAGGGCCACACTAGCCGAAGAAGAGGAAGGGAGAGCAAATCACCAGTGTTTTTCCTTTCCAAGTTTCTTGTGAAACTCTTTTTCCCTCTTGTTTTCTTCTCCCTCCCGGGGGCTAAGGGAGGGGGTCCTGGAACATCTTCTAGCACACTGCTCAAAGGCAGTACTGTAGGAGAAATCCAGATCCTTCTTTTCCTGGATTACAGTGCTTAAAGGAAAAACTGAAACAACTTGTGAACTTGATCTGTTGCGTCTTTGTCACTCTTTCGGCAAATGAAATTTAAATCTTTGACCTTAGTAGAGTATATGATAATGGTGTCTGATACCCTTAGGGCTCCCTGTAAGTGTTCAATAAATATTTATTTTTATAAATACCAGATGCTTTCGTAATTTTTTTAGAGTAGAAAATAATCAGAAGAAGATTATTCACCCTGCTACACAATCAAAGGTGTTAAAAGGACAATGACAACTTAAAAAAAATTACTGTTAACCGTACACTTAAAAATGGTTGAAATGGTAAATTTTACCTTCTGTGTATTTTACCACAATTAAAAAAATTGTTTAAATTTTGGGCGACTGTTGGTTATGAAAGAGGATGGCTTTGTCTGAAGTATCAGTTTTTAACCTCTCTCGAGGAGTGTTGAGTAATGATATTCCTCAGTCGGCATCGGCTCCTCTGTTTTCTTTTCACGCTTGCCCCACGTCGGTGGCCTTGAATGTGTTTGATGTGGGCCCTGTTGTGTCTGCGAAGGGCCTGCTGTCTTATGCGCCTGTGCTTCGGTTGCACAGTAGTCTTCATCAAACGCTTGTGGGCCCTCCTCGGCCCTCTCTCCTATGATCTGGCATGTTGCTGGATCTTCACTGACTAGTTTTGTCCAGCGGGTACGTTGTATTCCAGGTGGTTATTTATTAAAATGAGCTGTTAAATGTAGAATTCCTGAAATGGATAAGGCACATTAAAATGAGCATTTAAGAAAACACCAACTTGTGCTCTTATGTGAGAATTGAAGTTGAAGAATGCGAGTTAGATGCTGTGGAAGATTAGAGGAAATGAAAACATCTGTGTAGAATGCTGTCCGAACAGTCAAAGAATTTCAAGGCCTAACAAAAACATGTATTTTTCTTCTAGAAACTTTGTATTAAAATAATTAGGTCTCAGTTTTTAGCCCACAAAAGCTTAGTAGTTGAAAGATAATACCAGTGATATTATGGAACCTCCCCGTTATCTATTACTTATTAATTTTGACATTGTATTATATTTAAACAGTCATCTTATTTTTTCTGTTACTTCTTTGAAGCAGAACTGTGTTCTCTGAATCCCCATCACTGAATCTAACACAGAGTAAGACAAGTACAAATACAGGATTCCAACTTTGGGATGCAGAAACACAGTTTCGTCTATAGTAGTACAGTATCAGCAGAAGCAGCTTCTCTTGGATCTCCTAACTAGAAATTGTCAGAGAGTAGGAACTTCAGAAGCTCCATTCCGTGATGATGGTATGCTTCATAGTGGTGAGGAGGAGAGAGAGGGAGAGAGTCCTATGAGAGGATGGAGCGGGCGTTGATTTTAGGCGGAGGATGAATACAGCAGTGATCAGATCAAGGAGGGCTTCCATCAGGTGGCAAATGCTAAAGGTACCTTGCTGGGAGCAGTTTCTTTGTGTGGGAGGAAGATGTTAGGGGCCAGGAGGAAATGTGGAACTGAGTCAGTAGGGGAAAGGCAAAGGGTAAGGGAATTCATGTCTGTTAACAGTTAAGCCAAGGTTGAGGCTTTTTGAAAGTAATAGTTCTTTATATGGCAATACTTTTTATAAGACCTTTGGTGGGAAGACCAGCAACTTTTGAGGTTGATATTGATTTGGTATCCTATGCATTGTTGAATACTCCCCTTACTGTCTTAAAAAATAATTCACAGAATTTGACATCAGTCCTTTTTCTAGTTTCTTTAATTTTTGAGTATTTTGTATGGCATAGTAATTTCGTTATTCTCACTTTGTTATGTTAATGCATGGCATAAGTAGAACAGATAGTATTCTCATTTTACAATGAGGAAACCAGTAGATGACTTAGCTTTAGGTTCTTTTTAGTAACTTATACTGCCTCTCTATGAACTGATATTACTCTATATAGAAGGTGTAATTCCTATCAACTGATATTTTTCTCTATATGGAAGGTGTATTGCTAGGATACTTTTAACTTGAAAGAAATGTTTCTAACCAGGAAGAACCTCATAGTCTGAGGAGTTTTTTTAAAAAAACGCACATATATAAACAAAAGTGTAACCAATGAATGATGTAGATGGTAGTCACTTAACCTTGAGGTTTACTAAAACAGCATTTAATAAATTATATGGATTTTGTCCACCACTGTTATAGAAAATTATTTCATAAATATTTCCAGTTTAGAATGAATACCATAAATTTGTACTTTTTTAGTTTTGAACATGCCTATTTACTTTCCTTGAAGATGAGGTGTCTAATTTTGATGGATGGAAGATTGGAATCTCTTTGTGGGTATGGAACAATCAATTAGATCTCATGTATTTCAGACTATGGTAATCCCCTGTCCCCAAATTATTTGTTTATAGTATGAAAATCAGGCAAACTCTATTATAAGCCTGAATCTTTTATCCTGAAAGACTTAATTTGGTTCAGGCCTAGCGTTAATGGTGCAAGCACAGATGAAGATTGGTTTTGAGTAACCCAGGGCCGTCTATGGCGTTGTAGGTCTGGAGGGTCCTTGGATTAGTTTACAGTTGAGCCTCCGGAAAGATTTCACGTGTAGGTGGTGGCATAAAGGAATACAGGTTGACTCAGTCTTTGGAATAGATTGGAGTTATAAAACTTGAAAGTTTAGCATTGTTTTTGTTGTTCAAAAATAGGCTATGATACTAAAAAGACAGATCTTCTGACTCTTATTGTGTATTATGGTTTCAAATGTTGCAGTTCAATTTAAGTAAATTTGAACTTTAGAAAATATAGGTAACTTTATTGTTTTATAAAAGAATACCATTATATCAGATACCTTCTTTGTTTCATGTTCCACTCTTCCATGGAATTCCATGAGCTGCCTTGATTTAATTTTTTTTAGCCACTTGCTTTTAGATTTAAAAAAAAAAAAGGACCCAAAAACCAAAACTCAGAATAGCTTGAAACTCGACACAAATTACTGCCACAGAACAAAAGTGCTGATCAAGTTAAATCAACCCCTGTAATGTCTACTGAAAGGAAAACTTCTCTCTCCCTCAGTTTGAAGAACAAGCGTTTCCCCTGCCAAGAAGGGCTGACTTTAAGTGGACCAGCTGTCCATGTTAGGAGCACAGGGTTGCTAAGGTGACCATGGCTGTTTGGGGAAGAATGCAGCTGAGAGGGCAAGCTGTTGGTGTGTGAGCCGAGGGAAGGAATGTGGTGTGATTATGCATCGTTGCTCCTAATCACGTGCTCAGAGTGCAGTGTGGGCAGCATGCAGAAACAACACGTCCAAGCGCTGGGCCTGTGTGTGGGTTAGGATCCTGCTGTTTTCATGTGAGCCAGAGGCTTGCAATTCACACTGAAAATGTGGACCTTGTATGTGTGTGTGTGTTTTGGGTGAAGGGGAGGGTGTTTTGATGAAATGGGAATGAATTTATTTTGCTTGATGGACACATACTTTCATATTGTTAAAGAAAAATTTTATCTTGGGGTAAATGTTTTTTCCAAATTGTCCCTTTCAATCATACACACAGTTTTAATAGTTCCCCAAGTGAAGGATGTGTTCTTTGTAATTGTGCTTATTTCTTTGGCGCTTTTAATTTCAGAATTATTTGGAAGTTCTAAGAATATGTTGTCTATTTGCTCCATTTCTTCTTTTTTTTAAAAAAAAGTTCTTGCTCTTTCCAAGGGAGATCTTACCTTAATATTAAGTGTTTCTTCGAAGCATCCAAAGATAGATTTTGGCATGTGGTAAAAAATATGATTCAGGGAGCAGTGGGAAAGGACAAAGTAATACCCCACTTACCTGAAACACTATTTAGATTTTACCATGGGCATCATTGCT